TGGGGGGGGGGGGGTTCAAAATGGATCCTTGTTTCTTGGTTGAAAGAAAGTATAGATCAATTTTTACCTATCATGAACCACGAAATTGATGTAGTCTTTTCCCCTTTGAAAGGTTGTCGTAAGTATTTGAGAAAAAAAAACTATTAAAGGACTTTTGAAAGATTTCTTGGTACTCAGTGAAGTAATAAATATGAATTGACGAAATTGGGAATGTAGTGGGGAATTAAAAAGTTCAAAATTGTTTGATCTGCAAAGAACAATTTCATGAACGCGTCCTGCTTTTATAACCTGTTGTTGATTCCTCTAATTTCCATTGCACGATATTGTGAATTAACAGTTTTTGTAAAGAAACGTAAGTTATTTTTACTGACATTTGTACATTAGCCCATTTAGTGATTTCTACAACAGTATCACATATCAAATATATACATTTATTTTTATATCTGTCATAACAATGTTTCCTGTAATGTTTGTTCTTGTGTTTAAGTCACAAATATATTTTTTGTCGTTTTGGTGATTTTTTTTCAATTAGTGAATGCCAGTCACTTTCACTGTAGTAAAGTGTGAAGATCTGACCTTTGATCTGCTAAGATGCTCCGTCGTTTTCAAGGGCACAGAATGACTTTCTTTTTTTTAGCTGGAAGTATTGATTTGTCATTTTGTTCTTTATAAACAAAATTGAACTGACCTGAGAGAAACCCATCATTTCCCGGATGGGTTATACTCTTTTAACGTCTCTAGATCTGATTTTTGTTACTCAAATATTGAAGGGTCTGAAGTTATCTACAGACGAAAAATTTGCGTAAGTTTTATATTTTGAAGTTTTGTTTTTCAGAAACAATTTTCTCTCCTTTTTTTTTTGGATCACACTATTCAATACATATTATTTTTCTGTTCCCGTGATCCTATTTTATTTTTTGTGGTAAATTGTTTATTGTATCACTGGCATAGGTTCATTTTGTCAAAAGAAAAATTGTTCTCACTACATACGCAACTGAGACGAATTATTTTTTTGTTCTAATTTCCCTTACACTTTTCTTTTGAAATGAAATAGATTTTGCCCTAAATGTGTTAATGATCGTAAAAGGCTTTTACGTTGCCCATTATGGTGTGCTGCAATGGTTAACAAAAAGTTTTGGTTTGTTTAGATACAAAGATGTATTGTCTGTGCTTTGCGAGCATGTTATGGAGCTAGCAAAAAAGTAATTCTTGTACTGTCAAGGTCTAGTGAGTTGAAACATGCGCTCGTGAAGTTTGGCAGCACTGTCTTAAATTATCTCTGGGTTGTGATGTCTATGCAAGTGAATATTGCCTGTCATGTCACATCATTTCTCTTCAACTGAATTTCTTCAAGTTGAGGAGTGGGCTTTAAATAATTTATTTTTTCCGTTTACTATCTTTTGAAATTGACTGAGCGCTGAAATGACTCCTTTTATCTTTTCATGTGCTATGACGTCGATCCTGAGAACAGCAGTGATAAGAATGATGAACGGAAAATGTGTGTGATATGGCAAAAATATCTATGCTACATTTGTTCCCAGATGTGTCTTGTTTGGCCTGTCTGATATTATTTGTTAACTGTATTCATGTATTGACATTTTCAAAAGATGTCACATCTTGAGTGTCTGTTAAAGTTAATGTGCATGTTTTGTGTACTGGTGATAGAATACTTAAAGAGAATAACAGTATATATATCCAGCTCTGTGGTTGGTATATAATTCACTCCGTCTATCTCAACACTGCTCGAAGCTGCTAATTTTTTCATTTCATGTTCAGATTCATCATTCCATAAACATCAGTGTGAATTTATTAATTATTATGGCTAAAATAGCATATTACAGGCAGCTATGCTTGTTACTGAGCTAGTCCCTCCATACAAGAAAAAAGGTTGTGTTTTTAACTTTGCCGTGAAGGCCTTGATGTGAAAGCAATGTGTTACCTGTCACTCACCTTTTCAGACCTACCAGTTGTTATATTATGACCTTCATTACTTCTATTCTAAACTGTTTATTTCTTCAGCTGGTTTTTTTATCCACCCTGATCGGTTTTTGATCCTCCCTGATCTGATCTTTGTCCATTGAATCTACACTTATCTAGAATTGCGACTTCCGTCACATAAGCTATTGAGAAAGTAATGTCTAAGCCTGTATATGCCTTATATGGGAATATAAGGTTCACCTTTAATTTTGGGGTGGAGAGTACATAAGGAAAGCGGAAAAATGTCCCTGGATCATAAAATGGAGATGTTACTGATTAGTTATTGTGAGTCTTCAATTATGCAGATGCAGCTTAATAAGATTCCATTTTGAATGATTTTCAGAGGACCAATACTATATATTTTACAGGAACTCTGGATGTTTGGTTCACAGGGTATTTCAAAAGATGGTCTTTTGTATTGTTGTTTGTGACCATGTGAAATGATTGGTAGGGTGGCTAGTGCCAGAGTGTGTCCCCTGCCTCTTTGACAAAATGCTTCACTTTATTTCTGATCTGATCTTGTTCTCACTGATCTTTTGCCTGTGTGTAGATTACATTATGTTTAAATGGGACAGAGCGGTGATATTTGGCCATCACTTGACTATCAAAGTATTTTACTTTGGGTATATGCTTAGTCACTCACCTCATTTTCAATGGTAATTTTTTTCAGTTTGCTCCAGGAATAGCATCTCATGTTATCTTTAAATACAATATTTGAATCAGTCTATTATACATTGAAAAAAAAAATTTGATTCCGGAAAAATGCAGCTTCTCACCTCCCGACAGTTGTTTGTTAAAAGGAGCTCTTTGTTCTGGTTAGCTCTTCATTCATTGTTATGCATCGCCCTACAGTATGCAAATGTTTATTCTCAGTATTAAGATGCACGCATGTATTGTGTTGCATTTTTTTCTTTAACAATGATCAAAATTAATATTTTCATACTGAAAAGGTGAAATAAAGCTTCTGTATAGTTGTTTTTTTTACTATCTTGTCCCATGTGAAAGAATACCAGTGTTGTGACCTCTTGATTGGACTGATAGTGGGAAGTTTTTCATGTGATTTGTATGTGGACAGTATATGTAATGCCTGTTACTGCTTTTTCTTTACAGCTAGTTTAGCGTTTCAGTTGGCTGACTGTGTAATCACAATTCATCTCTTTATTCTCTATATATGGTTTGTTTTTCCCAAATTCCTGTCTCCATGGTAAAGCTTTTGAATGCCTTTGGTCTGTGAAGGATTGTTGTCACCGTCATACAGTAGGTCTTGTTCGGCAATTGATGTATATTTTATCGGAGCATGGTTTACTCCTACTGATCATCATACCAATGCATTGTAATCGTTGTTGTGTAAATAATGTGTTACAGATATCTGTTACAGTTATTAATCAACTATATATAAGCATATATACTCTGTGATATTTGGTGAGAGTTAAAAGTATGCCTCATTCGCTGTCATCTTCTTTGCTTTTGTTTCCAAATGGACAACAAAGTTATCAACTTACAAGTAAGCAGTTCTTTTTTGTCAAGCATTGGTTCTACTGTGTGGAGTGTGTGACTGGAACATGTTTTCCTGAGAGAAAGTTCTTTGTCATTTTGTTTTGTTCTTCAATTCATATTTACCTATTTTTTGAAGAACTCGTTGTGCTGAAAGGTGTGCAAGACGATGAAACATTGTTTTTTTCCATGAGACAGTTAAATGTGATTGCTTACTTAACAAGAAGAGTGTATTTCTAGTTCAGTGAGTGTAATATCAGCTGAAGTCTTGTTTTGTCTCTTGAGATATGTGGCAGTCACATCACAGCTGTTTCTCTTTTATAGAAAAAATACGGGCTTTGTGTTTTATTTCAGGGTTTGAAAATGATGTTCTTTGTTCAGACAGAATTTTCTTGCATGATATTCTTAAAAGAATTTGCAGCTGCCTTGTCTGATCTGAGATGTGGATGGTTTAGTGTTTTCAAAACATTCCTTGTCAGTTTAGTGTGTTGAGATAGTTACTCCACCAAATATTGATATGTATCCATCTAAGAAAAATCACAGATATATTTGTC